AAGAATGAAAAGCCTGGCTCTGTTGTGAGCCACTGCTGGCTCTGACTGCAGGTCATTAAAGCTCTATTGAGTTTCTGCCAAAGCCCCGACTCTCCCAATATCTCACCATGGCTCATCTCAGCTGTCTCTTCCATCGGGGCTTATATCAGCTGCTGAAAGGATCAACACCCAGTCTCCGTGTTTGCAGCATAGTTGAACATTCCCTCTTCTAGAAGGCTGAATGAGATCCGCCTTGACATCATCCTTTTTTTGGACTGGCTCCTGTGCATCACCACAAACATATCATCATCAGTTACGTGTGAGTGCAGAGCACGGAGAGCTGGCTTTGTTGCCCCCGTTCAAAAGGTTGAGATTTTATTTTGTCTTAAAATGAGCAAGTGGTGCTTCAGCTCAAATAAACGTCATTTTTTCTGTCGACTCCCTGAACACCGAATCACAGACGAGTGATATCACCAAAGCCGTCACTTGTCACATTCTCCTCTGGTGCACCCAGTGAATGAAGGAGGGGCATCCGGAGGTGTGATGGAGGGGGTTTGGGCCGGCGACGGGTCTGCAGGTGTCACGCGGGAGGTGAGGAGGTGTAAGGCCGAGCAGGACGACCGGCTGATTAATCCAGCAACACCTCGGGTCCAGTGGGAATGACTTGTCCTGCTGCCACAGCGGCGTTGTGGCCACCAAGTTACTCAACACAAACTAATGAAGTGCACATGGGTGAAAAGTTATAAAAACCCGCGTTTTTTTTTAAAGAACAACATTACACATGGAGTCAGTAATATCAGCATGTGTGGATTTGAGGAAATATGTGGCGCAAACTGAACCAAACAGCAGCTGCGTCAGCGGAGGAAGAGAGAGATCCATGTTCAGGTGGTCGAGTGTTAAGAGCTTGAACCAAACCAGGCTGATCAACATCTTGAACTGCAGATAAGCCGGCGAGCGGGACACAGACCCCCGGAGGGAGGGAGGGGTCGTCACAGGATTATAAAAATAAACTTGGCAGCAGCCGAGTCAGAATCGAACAAACCAACCTGCATAAAAACTTGGATCAACTTTTTAAAGAAATTAAAGAAAACTAACCAGTGCATTTAAGTAATGTATTTTAATGTAAAACTGTATTACTAATGCATTATATTGGTAAGAAAAGTATATTCATACAGTTGTATTAACCTCATTATCTATGTTGTAGAGAATATGAGAGATTGATCCGCATCCATCTGCAAATTATCTATTGCATGTGTTCATGCATGCACAGTATCATTCCAATAAAGAAAGTCATTATCTGATTGACGCACAGTTTTGACTGCGCTCAAAATAATTGTCATCATACCGTTCCAGAGTTGTCATGTTAAATTAATTTTACAATTTGAATTTACAAAAAACAGAGCGGTGAACGCTTATCAAACCTTAACGTTTCCAAAAGGTGAAAGAACTTAAAATAAATGGCCTCACTAGAGAACATTGGTGGTCTGAGCTCCAGAAATCTGTCAACTTAACCGATTGGTTGGATTGCCTGCACACATCCTTCAACTGAAGCTGTCGTCGTTGTTGTTGGCCGTAGAATTTATCTTCCAGCTACGTCTTGTGTCAAAAGCGGCATCAACAAGAGGTTGAGCTTCGTCGATCTCACAGGCCATATGTCACCTATTTGAACATCTGCTTCACACAACCTGATTATGTACGTGCATAAACTGTGTTTATGTGTGTTTTCATGGTGTGTATATACTGAATATTCACAAATGTTGTGTTCAGTGCAGCCCATCTAGGAGAGAAACCAGCAATTGATATTATCAGTGTGCAATAGATAGATTCTATGTGTAGTTGTCTTCTCACAACCACTGAGCCTCGGTGACCATCCGAAGACCGGAATGTCCTGCCTGCGTTACAGCCCGGTGAATGACATTTGGAATGCGCATCATCAGCTCAAGTCTACCCCCTCTGTTGTTCCTTGTTTGTGTGTGACACCCTGATATTGGATTGACCTTATAGGCTGCAGAGATCAGGACATCATTAGATGTGACCAGCCACAGACTTGCTGCTCAGGCCTCCTGCACTAAGCCGCTGCCCCCCTGACAAGTTAATACAGCGCGGATAGAAACCAGTCGGGCTACTTTACCCAGAAGCCTCAGTGGCCAAAGAGATGTCACTAATGCCAACAAAAGACACAGTATTAGAAGACCTTCCAGCTGCAGTGTGTGTAATGTCAATAGGTGTAGACTGATTTGACTGATATGAAATGACCTAACAGAGATCATTTAAACTTGCAAACCTAGAGAAGAATAAAAATAATAACATACAATCTTATGTGGTGTTGAACCAATATTGAAGAGGTGAACCATGTAATACAGAAAAGAGATGATAGTTCCTACTTGGAGATATATTTCATACTTTAATGGCAGCAATTCATTTGTGAGGGCTTGTCACATTGCTGAATCAATTGGTCTCTCATTGTGGTACAAAACTCTGGTTTCTTTCTAATTCTCTGCAGACATTTCTCTTTTCCATAAACATGATCACAGATAAAGGATCACGCTGAGAGAGCTTATTGTTTTTCAATAGTTGACCCGCAGCAGAATACTGAATCTCTGGGTCTTAAATAACCACAGACGGTATTGATCTTAATAAGGCACTGTTTTTGTTGTTAACTAACCACCACAGGAAATCCAATGAAAGGTTCTAACCTTTCCTTAGTTCTCTGTCATTCCACCTTCACCGGGCTGTTTGAAAGCATTCCAGTAAGGTGAACTCTTCTGGGAGAAAGTAAATAATCTAAATGTTAGATCATTATCTCATTAGCTTTTGCACACTAAAGGTCTGGGCAAATGAATGTGTGGACTAGAAGCATATAGGATTCTTTGGCACGTCATTTATTGTTCCCGTGGTCAAACTCAAGCAGCCAACGTTCTTGCTATAACCCCTTAACTCACTCTGTCAGATCTCCCTCTCTCTCTCTCTCTATCTCTCTCTGAGTTTCTGCTTTCAGTGTCACCTTGTAAGCTTTGTGTTGTCTCTGCGCGTGTGTGTGGGTGGGTGTGCACGAGCATGAGAGGAGAATACTGGCCGTCAGAGAACCATGCACGATGCACTCGCTTATTTCCACCTCCCACTCTCTCTTACGCTCTTACTTTGTCTTGTCTTGGCAGCACAACACTCATTGCCCTCCTGGTTGGATCATGCAACGCTCCTGTTAAATCACATGATTAGGTCCAGTGACCCGCAATCCCTCAGTCTTGTGCCACTTCTACCAATAGTTATCGCTTCCAGCTGAGGAGCTGATAGCATATCGCACTCACGCAGGAAATAAAGAGGGCCGGGGAGATCTGTGTCTGAAAACGTGCGAACATCTAACTGTTAAATAAAAAATAAAAAACCTGCTTTGAAGGGGGGATAAAAACCACAAATTGGTCTTTTCTAATAAAATATAATGGCGTCTGCTTATCAGTATTCCTGCCAGCGATATTCCCCCGACGGAGTGGCAGTCTCCGCTGCAATAGCAGAGAGATAAGCGAGTAATGTTGCAGATAGCCCTCCTCTCACCTTTAGATAATTTTGCGTGTAGAGTGTCGGATGATTGCTGATTATCGAACCGCTTTACAGTTGATCTGAACCTCATCTGCACTTAACCTCATTGTTCCTGGAGCAGAGGTGAGAGGAATGTCAATTGGAGTGTGTCTTTGGCCCTGTTTTAGCATTCCTCCTCTCTCTCTCTCTCTCTCTCTCTCTCTCTCTCTCCCTCCTGAGCCATTCATCCACTTACACAGGGATATATACAGCATGTGCACAAACAAGCGACCACATTCAGAGCTCTCTAAACCTCTCACAAACAAACACAAACATGTCGAGAGTTCCTCCTTCTCCCCGACGATGCACAAAGAGATCCAGACTGGGTGGATGTCTAAGCAGAAACCGGGCCCATGAAAAATGCATACCCCTTTGCGTGTTTCATAAGAAACTCTCATCAGGATTCCGTTCCCATCTCAGCCGAAACACCACACAGGAATACCAATTACACTGGTAATTCAGGGGGGGGCAGTGCGAGGCCGGAATGGCGCTGAACGGGAATATGGGGTCCACGGTGTCATCTTTACGAGAGGGTCGCCGGATCCTAAAGCTCTGGAGCCCACATTGCTTGCAGAGATTATGAAATGCACGTTGGCCTGGATGTGATAGAAGTGCTCTTGAGTACAGTGGTTGAATCATGATGAGATGAGGAGCCAAATAAGCACTGGAAAAGTTAAGTGTACAGCCGCCATGGGAGATGCTTCAGGGTTTATAATTGTTGGAGTGGGACTATTAAGGCAAGCAGGTTCATAAGTGTTCTTGGATTACACTTTTCCAGTTAATAGTTTATATATAAAACTAAATAGTTAACTACATTTTTTTATATTTCCCCACCTGAAACTATATAGTGCAACATGTCCCTTTTTACATATTTTACTTTCAATGGACAAAACTCTTCCTTCACAACGATGAAATGGTAATTATTCCAGATATTTTCAGCGAGGGCGATATTTAGTGTTTTATTAGTTTTTCACCACCTGTCAAGAAAATATCATCAGTTAGTTTCCAGTATTGCCCTCTCCTCACTAGCAAGGACGGCTGCTCTCTGATAGATAAAAAAAGAATCCACAGAACAGCGGACCCCTCCCAAATAAAATGCATTTTGTATTTCTTCAATAGAAATATATATTTGATGTATGTATACACTGACTTTTTTATATCAGACAAGCGGCACTGAATCACACAGCCAGAGTTCAACAAGTAATGCATTAAGTTATGAAGATGTATGTTTTGAATAATATTACAAAATGTGTTTAAAATAACTTCAGCGGGTGCATATCTCTCTTCAAACATGGGCTACGGTGCCTTTAACTCAACCCCAAAAAGTTGTAATTATAGAATATCCCAAAAGTTGCATCACACTACGGATTACGCAAATTGCAAATTGTTATGCCACTGGCTGCACTGTGCACTTACACGTATGCATCAATATGTTTCCTCCGTAGGAGAATCCTTACATGTGCAACAATGAATGTGACGCCACCACCGAGGAGCTGGCTCATCCTCCAGAGCTGATGTTTGACTTTGAGGGTCGCAACCCCACAACGTTTTGGCAGTCGAGCTCATGGAAGAAATACCCAAAGCCTCTCCAGGTTAACATCACGCTGTCGTGGAACAAAACCGTCGAGCTGACCGACGACATCGTGCTGACCTTTGAGTCGGGCCGACCGGAGCAGATGGTCCTGGAAAAGTCACTCGACTACGGCAGGACCTGGACCCCTTACCAGTTCTACGCCACCGACTGCCTTGACGCGTTCACCATGGAACCCAAGACGGCCAACGACCTCACCCAGCGCACCCTGCTGGATATCATCTGCACCGAGGACTACTCCCGAGGCTACGTGTGGAAGAACGACAAGACGGTGCGCTTTGAGATAAAGGACCGCTTTGCCCTCTTTGCCGGGCCTCGGCTGCACAACATGGCCTCGCTGTACGGCCAGTTGGATACCACCAAGAACCTGAGGGACTTCTTCACCATTACTGATCTGAGGATTAAGCTGCTGAAGCCGGCCACGGGAGCCACCATGGTGGACGAGAATAACCTCTCCAGATACTTCTACGCCATATCCGACATCAAAGTGCAGGGCAGGTAAGACATTTTGAACTTGTTTTCCTGACAAACAAACCATGTCTGCCGCTAGTGTTATATAGTTTGGGTGCTTTAGCAGTTTGTACTGTCTTTGACATCAGCTTCAATTTTTTACTTTTCACAGTATTCTGTGCAACAAACAGTTGTTTGTATGCTGTGTTTTTTCGCCAGAAACCACTGTGTGTATCGTTAAGGACTAAACATGGTGAGCTCAAACCATTCCACATAACATTTGGAGAGCAGTTTTTCAATATTTTGACTGGCTCTTTATTGTCTTTGTAGCTCCAGAGTTATTTGTTGTTATATATCGATTACAAATCAATTGAAATGGTACATAATCGATACTTGGAAACTGCACATTGGATTTAAGCACAAAAACGGTAGCCGCGCGAAACTCGGAACAACAACAAAACACAGCGTGGAGGAGACGACTGAGAGCGAGACATTTACAAACCAACTTATCGATCCAGCGCATGGAAACATTTTGGCTTTTGCAAACACGGAGGTGTTCTAAATAAGTCGGTCGCTGTTTGTAGAATATGTAGAAGACAAATAAAAAACACGGAAACACGACAAATCTTTCCAGCCATCTACTAAGGCGCCGTGGGATTAAACAACGCCGACAGTCAGGACCTCTAGCAGCGTTACCGCTGCAGCAGCAGCAGGTAACTCCAGCTCTGCAGACACTTCAGGCCTCGTCAGCACCAAACTCAACATCACAGTAACAATTGCCAAGTTTATCTGTAAAGACATGCGACCCTACAATGAGGTTGCAAATCCGGGGTTCTGTGAATTGATCCAAACATTGTGTAATTATTGTGTCATGTTTACATTGAAAATGGCACTTGATTCAAATAAAAGGTTAATACATTTGCCATTAATTGTTGTTTGCTTGTTTATAATATCCATAATTAATTTAAACCTGATTTCCTTACAAGAAACAACAGGGATCTCAAACTTTGCCTGCACTGTCCAGTAAAGTTACTGAATCGAATCGTTCTAAATTAACCCAGATCGTCCATGAATCAAATCGGCAACCATGAATCTCGTTGTTAAAATGAATCGTTACACCCCTAGTTGTTTGTCTTTCTACACTGAACATCAATGATCAATGTGCAGCTACTTTAATAATAGCTACTCTTATTAATTAGTGCAATATTAAGCATTATTCTAACGTGGGTTATCATCACAAATCTATGAATTGTGGCTAATTCCCTCATATGGAGTTATAAGAAATGCAAACTTACTGAAAGTATGCTCAGAAGAGCAAAAGAAAAAGGCTCAAAATGTCTGTTGCAGTTGACAATGGGAAATCCCGTAAACCCTTAAACCCTCATGGAGCTGAGACATACGTCCACGTCTGTGAGCCTATGAGTGTCAACATTGGCATTGTATTTGTATTTGTAAGTCTTAATCAGCGATTTAAAGGAAAGAAGCTTAAATGCATCAGTTGCTTCAGCCCAATAATTTTCACTTTTAGACACGGAGAAGCGAAAGTGTTAAGGTGGCAGACAGAGCAGGTTCAACCCAGCTCAAAATTCTGTTTCTAAAATAAGTCCAAATGAGGAAAAGATGGAGCAGCCTTAGCAGATGCTAAACTCTGCTCTCCTAAATTACTTATTATAACCCTAATTTGACAAGGACAGAGGGCTGAGATTTCCGAGGTGAAGAGAAGAGTTTTAATTCATGTCTCCCTGCATTGCAGAGAGACATGAATGCAGAGACATCTTTATACATTACATATACATTATATTACATTTACTGGGTTAGGTGCATCGATTCTGGAGAGCGGAACTTTTGAAAGATTGTCAGTTTAATAAATAACAACATAGATCATTTATTTTATTACGATGACATTTTGAAACGTTTTCACTTCAGGTAGGTCAATTAGTAACACAAGGTTTCTCATTATAAATAATTCATTTTCAAAAGGATACAGAAATCTCCATCTACAATTCCAACACACATTTACAATTGCCATATACAACAGCCTGCACAAGTACCGGTCAGCTGCTGTAGTTTCAAGCACATTTTAAATATGTACTGTGTTTATTATTTGTCTTCACACAACACACACTGTGTCTGCAAACGTTACGTTTTTATTATTTGATTAAAAAACAACTGTGTGGAGCCTTATGTGAAGCAGAACTTAATGAGAAAATATCATGTAAAACTCACCTTTTCAGTGCTTGTGAAGATACAATTGGCTATCTGGATTGCCTACCAACTCACAAGCTGTGAAATAAAACAACCCTGTCACTTATTGGAGGGCTGCCTGAATATGAAAACATGTGATTCATCAAGCATTTCGGAGTGGACTCATAAACATTACATCATGCAGGATCATTGGAATATACAGCACCCCGGGTTGAGAACTTTGCAAAGGTGCACCATCTTTTTGCTCTATTAGTGTTTAAAATGAATGATTTATTCAGACAATATAAGCACACACATATGTTTTTTACTTTACAGCATTTAAACATTCAAGTAAAAAAGTATGACCCCCCGAATCTGAATGGCATTATATTTCCTTTATGGAAAAAAAGTCAAATATCCATTATATTTGGGTACTTTACCACTAGCTATGTAGACAGCTTTACTGGTCTCCCTGAAGAGAAAATAATTCATGTGATTTACTGCTCATAATGTGGTGATTTAAGGGCTATTTAAATGTCTGTTCTGACATTTTGTTCTTTTGGATGGATGGTACAAAGAAAACCGCAGAGCAATGCGTTTATCAGAGGATTGTAGAGCGTGTGTGCGTTAGCTAATACAAACGTTTCCTTTCATTTGGACCATTTTTAATTAAACATGATAGTATGGATGATTACTACTTTAAAGAGACACTATTCATTTATGTTACACCTGCCTCTAAAATTATTTTGTATAATTTCCCCCAGAAAAAAAAATAATTTCAGTCAAATAAAGCAGCCCTCCTCTGCAACGTATGATATAATCATCCGTGAGTCATCAGAATGCCTCTGTGATTTTCCGGGAATGAAAACATTGTCATTTCATGATGCATGAAAATGGCCCACAGGATGGTCGTAAAAGCTCTACAGCTGCTCTGCAAATGGGTCTTGTGTTGCTTGCTGCAGTTAGTTTATTTGAGGATAACTAGGTTGGTAATGACCCATCAGATGGGCCCTCGTGAATTGAAACAGTTAGTCCCTAATTACAATTCAGCCGACTTCAATTGCAGATTAGAACCATTAGCACGCTGGCTAATTGGTAGGTGGCTAATCTTGTAATTAAGAGCATTTGCAGCTGATTAAATGGTAATCATCGGAGACACATCAGTGAAACGGGGAGACGTTCCAAATTTGCCAGGCTGCGGTTTCCAAATTTAGCCTTGGCCTGTTTAATGAGGAGATTTATGGTTGTATCTATGAGGGGTTTTTTTTTAGAGCAAGACATGTTATGCTTTAAATAACACACATTTTCAGTCATCTCAAGGATGTTTTAATGATCTTTGACTGCTGGTTCGAACAAATCAGTCACTGAACCGTCATAACGAGCAAAAAATCTGGAAGATGAATCTGGAGATGATGTTTGATTTCTTTGATCAAATGCCACAAGGTTCTTCATAATGGTGGAGAGTGATACTCGCACTTCATTCCTATCAGAGAGATATACATGTTCTGCAGTCAGACACACTATTCAATATCCAAACTCGCACTGTGGACATGAATTGATGAGTTCTGCAAGGCTTGCTTTCAAGCACAGAATAATGTCTCCCAGAGATATCTTATTTTGCCATTCATTAGAAATAGTAAAAGGTTGGATGGAAAGAAAATAAGCTTTTTTGCCCCCTTCCCATCCTGCCCCTGGGCATCAAATTCAATTTTCCACCATAAGTTTGCAGTGAGAAAGAAAAGAAAAGAAAGACACTACTTCTGTCCAGAGGTGGATCCGTGGATGGGTGAAGAGATACTTGAAGTTCCCAACAGCCTTGTGGCTACAACCAAATGTGAAAACCTTAACCCAGAATGGCCATGAGGTTTGCGAATTCCCAGAATACACAAACGCTGATTAACTTAACACTGCTTTCTGTGTGCAATGTCAGTTAACTCCACAGACTGGAAAGGTACAATCAATGATTGTCATTTCAAAAATGAAAAGATAATTCTGAAAAATAAAGAAGAAAAACCTGAAATCAAGCTGTAAGCTACAGAATTCTTTCTTATGATTTCATATTTCTCACCTTGGTGTACTTCCAAACATAATAAAGTTGCATAGCAGAAAACCTGCAGTAAGTCAAAATAGATACACGCGGGTGACAGGACTTACAATCATATTGGATGATACTGCAGCACATGATGGATGTCCAATTCCTTTAATGAGTACCACAGAAGGAATTGGTAAACCCTTCATGTAGCCCGATAGAATGGAAGCGAGTGTAGTTTGTGAACCTCCGTGCTTTTTATTCACCCCAACCCACATGACAAAGTCTTGCAATTCAAAGCCCGCCCCCCGCCCTCCCTTCCTCTCTTTCCCAGCACATAATGCAACACAAATATGGTGAGTGATCATGTGTGATGCTGATCATTGCAGAGAACGCCCGTCCTGACCACCTCCTCTGAGTAGTGCGTGGCGGGCCGAGCCGTGCTACCGATTTTATTTTAAGTTATTCGACATTAAGCGGAAAACACAAACCTTGAACCGTGCAAGCGGTTCCACCTTTCACGGCCCTCCATCGTTCCTCACTTATTGATTAGACGTCTACTCATTAATTAAGACACGACCGCTACCGGCAGTGCTGCGCGGTCAGAGCTGCACATCTGCAGGGCTGCAGCAGGGCCTGGGAATGAGAGGCAGCTAATCCATAAGTGCTAATGTTTTATTTCTCTCATCCCCCCCTTTGTCATTCTCCTTTTTTGCCAGAACCGTTTCTCTTGAAATTCTTTCTCGGCTCACTTTTTAAGAGGGTCAAAGGTCGCTATTCTATCGCTACACATATACTGTACATATGTTGTATGAGGAACGTGGGAGCCACAGTG